TCGCTCCTATCTTATAGTGGTGATCTTTTTCGGCAAATTTCGCTCCTTGCGCGGCAAATCGATGATCGGTTTCTCAAACCCTTTGACCGGTGTTATGTGTTTCATAGTGGGATTCGATATTGATGCTAACGCGGCGAGGGCATCTGCCGACGTGTTCTCACCTTGAGGTATTTTCGTGAGCTCGAATTTATCAAACTGTTTTGTGATATCTCGCAGAACTTCGTGGTATGCTTCCATCCTCTTGTTTTTAGCTTCGTACTCTCCGTGGAATTGGCTTGTAACTAGTTGTGAGTCGCTGAAGGCATTTATCTCCTGAGCTCCGATGCTTCGAGCAAGTCGTAATCCGGTGATTAGGGATTCATACTCGGCTTCGTTGTTGGAGGCGTTGAATCCTAGGCAAAAAGATTGTTCGATTTTCTTTCCGGTTGGGGAATCAAGTTGTATGCCGATTCCTGACCCCCATTTCGAGGATGCGCCATAGACGTATAGTTTCCATTTTCTCGAACTTAATTTAGAGTCGGCCTCTTTACGAAGCGAGCTCGATAACGAAGTCGGCTAGAACTTGGGCTTTTACGCTTATTAAAGGCTTATAATGATGTCGTATTCACTGAATTGGATTGCCCACTTGGCTAGTCTCCCTGATTGGCTTGGGCTACGAAGAATGGTTCGAAACGGTTGCGGAGTTATCATAGTGACTGAGTTCGATTGGAAGTATGGCCTCAACTTCCTTGCGGCCGTGACGACTGATAGGGCCAACTTTTCCATCGCGGGGTAACTTGTTTTGGCGTCTATCAGAGATCTACTGATGTAATATACCGGCTTCTGCTCACCGCTTTCTTCTCGGATCAGTACATTGCTGTCCGCGTGTTTTGAAGTGGCTATGTATAGAAATAACGTTTCGCCTTCGTTTGGTTTCGAGAACATCGGAGGTTGGCTTATATATGCTTCGAGTTCTTTTAGCGCGAGATCACATTCTTCGTTCCCTTCGAAATTTTTGTTCCCTTTCAGAAGCTTGTAGAACAGAAGACATCTGTCAGTTGATCTTGAGATAAAGCGATTCAGTGCAGTGATCTTTTCAATTAGTCGCTGCACTTCTCGAATGGATCTCGGCGATAGAGTGTCCATGAGCGCTGTGATCTGTTTGGGATTAGCTTTGATTCTTCTTTCTGTTACTAGGTATCCAAGGAATTCTCCTGAAGCTACCCCGAAGGTGCATTTGGTCGGATTTAGATTCATTCCAAATTTGTTGAGAAATTGGAATCATTCTCGGAGTTGGAGGACGTGGTCGTTTGCTTTTGATGACTTGACGAGCATGTCGTCGATGTAGACTTCCATCGTTTTTCCAAGCTGATCGGCAAACATTTTGTTCACTAGTCGTTAGTAGGTGGCTCCTGCGTTTTTCAGCCTGAAAGTCATTACCTTATAGCAATAGGTTCCGCGTTCGGTGATAAAACTCCTTTTCTCCTGGTCCCCTGGATCCATAAGGATCTGATTGTATCCGGAGAAAGCGTCAAGGAATGATAACAGTTCGTGCCCGACGGTGGCTTCTACCAGCCGGTCTATATGGGGCAGTGGGAAGCTATCTTTTGGACATGCTTTATTGAGATCGGTGTAATCAATGCAGATTCTCCATTTCCCATTCTTCTTTTTCACCACGACTGAATTAGCCAGCCAGTCTGGGTGCTGGACTTCGCGAATGGAACCGATCTTGAGAAGTTTATCGACTTCTTCGTTTACAGCCTTCAAACGTTCGGGCCCCAATTTCCTTCGCTTCTGCTTGATTGGTCTGTGAGTGGGATCGACGTTCAACTGATGAGATGTTATCGTGATGTCGATCCCGGGCATGTCGGCGGCCGTCCAAGCGAATGTCTTAGTGTTTTCTCTCAGAAATGGTAATAAATTATGTCTTATACTTGAAGGAAGGTCATTTCCGATGTTGACACATTAGTCGGGAAATCGTTCGTCGAGTGGGATCGGGCTCGATAAGCTTTCTTCGTTTTTCTTGATCGCGAGTGGACGGGATTTTATTTTCTTGCGGATGCATTTTTTGGAACTCCGCTAGGTAGCAAGCTCTGGATCTATTTTGGCTGCTATAAATCGTTCTTTCTCCGGTGGGTGACATGAACTTTACGCATTGGTGGTAGACTGACGGGATTACCCTCATTCTATGTAACCACGACCTCCCCTGAACGACATCGAAACACATAGGATGCTCGGAGATGGCAAATTTGGATTTCAATTCCAAATCTTGGACTCAGGTCGTATTGGACAAGGTTTCCGAGAATTGTACTTTTCTGCTGTAAAAATCGATGTGGAAATCAATCGCGCGATGGACTGTGCGGCTGCCTTGATCTATCAATCGAACTGTGTCTCGGGGTATGATATTTCCGGGGCTGCCTGTGTCAATGAAGGCTCTTGTTATAGTTACTCCGGTGAGATCGATTGTAATGACCAGGGCGTCGTCATGTGGCATATCGAGTTTAATATTTTTGTGTTAGTAGAAGGTTAGAGTTTCCTTTTGGTCTGGAGTCTCCCCAGCAGTGTTGGTTCCTCTTTCGGCCTTTGATGGCTGTCGATCTTTCGGGGGGGGGGGTATTGTTTCTCGGTGCTGAGCTCTCCTTTTGTACGGGCCGCCAGTATCGTTATCAGATGGTCGCGTTTTCTCTGACGGCGTGATGACAGTGGTCCCTGAAGTATTTCGTTCGGCTGATTTTTATTTGGGATATTCAGATCGGGTTCGATTAGGAACCATAATCGTGCTTAGAAATCCTAGATCAGGTTCTTAACAAGGGTGTCTTTCGTTTATCTTCCCCACAGTGGGCGCCAAAATGTAGATCCTAAAATCCACACTCAATATTTTGTAGAGATCGAGAGTTCAATCAGGGGAAGACAAAGGATGTGGGAAACGATGCTCTTAAACACAACGATATAATCAAACTTTGGTTGACAAAAATAGACTTTTATTGAATCTGAAATTCGTTTACAAAGTGATGAACAAGATCAAAAATGACAACAAAAGATACAAGAAGGAGAACTGGAAACCTAAAGAATGATGTCGATGTGATTAGTGAATAGCTCTAGGGGTTTTTCGTGTGTTTTGTACTCTACTTTTGCTCTCTTTTTATAGTCCCTTCCTCCTCTTAACTGTTTCCGCGATATTCGGGGCTCTACTTCGGCCTCATACTGTTTGTCGACCACGATGCGACGTCATGACATGGGCCTTGGCCTTATTACGACTACTGGCCTTGGCCTCGTTCTTTATTTATTCCTCGGCTTCCTTGCGGGCTTTTTTATTTACTCTTTCGATGGACCTCGAGTTCTTGAGCCCGATTTTGGGTCCAACAGGGAGTTAGACTATTTTCTAGGGCTTGAGATATGCCGGTCTAAGGAGGTGATGTTCTTATCCCAAAGAAAGTACACACGTGATTTGTTGAGTGAGTCATGTGATCTTGGAGGAAGAGTAGCAAAGACTCCACTGGAAGATGGTTATAAGGTGTTTCATGAGGGGGAGTTTGAAGAAAAATCCTATGGAGATTTCAAAAACTACAGAAGAATGGTTGGGAAACTCATCTACCTTACCATCACTAGGAAAGACGTGTGCTTTGCAGTCAACCAATTCAGTCAGCACATGCAAACTTCCAAGATACACCACTGGAATATGGTGGAAAGGATATTGAGATATTTGAGAGAAACACCAGGTCAAGGAGTATGGATGAGTTGCAGCAAAAGTATATAGATTGTAGAATATTGTGATGCTGATTGGGCTGGTGATAGATTTGACATGATGTCGACAACCGGTTACTACACCTTCATAAAAGGTGGTGTTTTGTCAAGTGCTGAAGCAGAGTATCGATCTATGAGGAAGTGTACTAGTGAACTCATATGGATCAAAGGACTACTGAAAGACTTGGGCATAGAAACAACCCCACCTATCACTATGCATTGCGACAATCAGGCAGCAATTCACATTGCATCTAACAATGTATTCCATGATAGGACAAAACATATTGAGGTGGTTTGTTATAAGGTCAGACAAGCAGTGGGGCAGAAAGTCATCCTCCCTACAGAAGATATGAAGATCAGTTGCCTGATATGTTCACCAAGGCAGCAAGCACTAAAGTGTGTGAGTCCATTCACCCAAAGCTTGGACTTATAGAGCCCCATCACACTGATTCCCTTGACCATGAAGTGTTCTACTCTTTTTTTCGTGGTTTGGTTTTTATCCCCAGTGGTTTTTCTAGGTTAATGAGGAAGGTTTCATGGCGTTTAATCTTGACTAATTCTATGGTCAAGTTTGAGGGGGAATATTGACATGAAGTGATAAATTCAAGAGAGTAACTCTGTGAACAGTAACTCTGTGAACAGTAATTTTGAGTGTTTGGTTGCCCTAGAAAACATGTTATTAAGCTTGTAGCCACCATGGTAAACATTAAGGAAATCATTCTTCTTATTCCCTGTTTCTCTATATTGAAATCTCTCATCTCTGTTGATTGTTCTAGCAAGTTCTTCATGTTATTCATTTAAACTCTCATAATTCTATCAAATCTCACAGCCTTATCCTCAAAGTCCATAACTAAAGTCACCTCTTGTGGTAACTACTAAATTTCACATGAAGTTTTCTGAAAGAAAGTGGCCAGAATTTTGTGGGCTTGCCTCTAGTTTGATATATTTTTCTGATGTGCTAATCCCAGAGAAAGGTTGAGAGCGTAAGATATACATTGTAAACACATAACTGTATGTGAATTTACCTGAGCTGAGGAGATATAGAAAGTCCAATGGCTTTATAGGATATGATCCAGTTGACAAACATTTCAAAGTATTGTTCATGGCTTATATATATAAGTGGACCTGATGATCATAGAATTCTGACATTAAGAACAGGAAAAAGAGAGGAAAAAAGAAAAGTGGAAAAAGATCAAATGTAGGTTAAGACATAAGCCTTTGTCTTGATCAGATATGCATCAATGAGATATGCAACAACGGGGGTTTGTATTACATAGGCGAAGAAGATGTAGTAGATGAAAGTTACTTGATAATTTTCTTTGATGTTAGGTCTGAGACATTCAAGTTTGTTAAAGCAGAATGCTTTGGTGATCCAAAAGCTACTAAACTGATCAACTATAAGGGTAAATTGGGTGGGGTAGACTTGACATATAATGACTCCAATACCATTGAGTTGTGTATGTGGATTCTAGAGGATGTTGAGAGAGAAGAATGGTTGAAATATGTCTACACTTTTCCGGTGAACGATATATGTGAGGTTTTCGTTGTTGGGGTGACTAGTACATGTGAGATCTAAACCATTTTGTGTTTTCTACTTCTGTCCCGAAACAACCACTCTCCAAAGAGTATAAATCCGAGGTGCTGGAGAATACCATGAAGCTTTTGAGACTGATTGCATAGTGCGTGCATTTGTAGACTATGTAGTTGATTCTAAGTTTATAACATAAGAGTTCTCGCTGTGAGTGTGAATTCTCAAGTACAGGTTCCGTGCGAGCTTTATATATCACTTTGTTGGCTTTTTATTTTTTGTTTCCTGGTTTTTATTTACAACTTATTTGAAAACTCTGATTTTTGTAATAATAATAAATTTTAAGGATTTGGTATTGGCGTTTTTCTTTAACCGTCCGTTATAAATTATACTCTCACACACATATACCATGGATGGAAAATTAGGGCAAATTAGGTGTGACTAACTGGGTAACTGGTGAACATGGTGTCATTGAGTTGCGTATATGGGTTCTCGAGGAGGTCGAGAAACATACTTGGTCAAAATATACATTTGACTTATTGCCGATAAAACTCTTTGTTTATGACGTTTCTGTCTTTTTTTTTTTTTGACAATGAAAGGCTGATCTATTACTCAAGCTTGAGGTGGTCTGGGAATCCAGACCCGAATAGAACAACCGACATACAGAAGATCACGATAAAAGGATCGGGCAGTCTTAGCTAAATGATTGGACACATCATTTAGAGATCTAGGTACATAAGAGATCTTGAAATCTGGGAAACAAATCCTCAGCGTCGAGATCCTCTCCAGTTCTGTCGTAAAGCTTGGCCATTTATGGGGATCCGTGAGCATTGCTACCAATTCCTTGCAGTCCGTCCCAAAGCTCTGACATGGCGAATGTTGAAGCATATTCTCCATTGCCCACCGCAGCGCTTCCAGCTCAGAATGCAAAGCCGACTCCACTCTACTCACATTACGCATCCCCATCAGCTGACTATTTCCCATGCTATCCTTCCAGTCCCAACCACAACCAGAGAATTGATCTATAGAGGTCCAAGAACCGTCTATCATGCAAGTATCTCGTAGGCTTATGGCCTGACGTTCAGTATCACCGTTTGCTTGTGTAACCACAACGTCATGCTCATTAGCTTGGAACCAGACAAGACATTCACTCTCGGCGTACCGAGCTAGTTCTAGAGGGTCCCTATCTATTCCTTTGAACAACTTATCATTCCGAGCCTTCCAAATGTACCATATTAACCAAGGATAAGGATCTCTGTCTAATTCTGGCCCACAAATGACCTTCTTCCGCCAGAATAGATAATCCATATTCGCATATGTGCTCTCCAAGGGGAATAAAGTTGGGCTGGTGGGTATAGATGCTAAGACCCATACCTGTAAAGTCGGTGGACATTGAAAAATTGCATGTGCTATTGTTTCATCATGTTCTCCGCATCGTGGGCAGAAATTATCGCATCTCATGTGTCTATGATTCAGCGCACTCGTATAGCCACATGCCCCGATATAATCTGCCACATAAGATGACACATCTTCGGGGGTGCTTTGACCTTCCAAACTTGTGTTTGGAGCCTTTTAATGCTGGGTTCATCTACCAAATTCTCATCCTCCTTCATTAGTATATTCCGAGCAACCCAGTATCCGGACTTGACTGTGTACTGCCCACTCTTTGTGTAACTTCAGCAGTGTGTGTCTCTACGATGGGTTGAACTAATAGCGATACTCCTTATGAGAGGTATATCAGCCGCGTCTACATAATTTGCCAGCCGTTGCAAATCCCAAGACTTTGTTTCTTGATTAATAAGATCACTCACTCTCATATTCGGATGCAGAACCGGAGCAAATGCATTCGTTGGTCTCGCTGGGATTGTGGGAATCCATGGATCCTCCCATACCTTTACTTCATAACCTGAATGAATTTTCTGTGTATCCCCCAATAGTAATAATTCACGTGCAACCGAGATGCTTGTCCACACATACGATGGACTGCTGACACTAAGCTTTCGCAAAGGTGAACTTAGTCGATAATACAGCCCTTTCATGACTCGAGCAACCAATGAATCTGGATTTTGGGCCAATCTCCACAACTGCTTCGCTAGTAACGCCATGTTAAACTCATGGATCATCCTGAATCCAATTCCACCTTCCTCTTTAGAAAGACATAACTTATCCCATGTTGTCCAGTGTAAGCCTTTCTTTAGTGGGTTTGAACTCCATCAAAACTGTGCAATGGCACTAGCCAAGGCATCACATATCTCCAATGGAAGCAAAAAGCAAGACATAACATAGATTGGGAGAGTTAACATGATTGACTTAATCATTACTTCCTTACGTTTCTGTCTTTGGAGTGGCCACAACAGATGTTATTGTTATGTCGATGAACTACTTATCCATTTGAACCGTTTTATATTCTCTACTTCAATCCCGAAAGGAAAAATTTCCAAACTGTTGAAGTCCTACAAGCTAATCATGACACATTTAAGACAATTTGCAGAGTTTTTGCCTTCGCTTACTATAGATGCAGAGGATCTCAAATTTATAATATAGTGTAAGCTAGTTTTGGCAGTGAGTGTGACTTCTCTCATTAATTGATTTCATGTTAAGTCTATCACTTCGCTAGCTTTTCATATTTGCCGTTCTGGTTTTCAATTACATATCCTCATTCTGTTAAACGTTCCTTGGGAGCAAAATTTGATCCCACGTTGCATTTTCATAAACCTCTTTTTCGTAATGATATAACACATTTAATGATTTAAGTTTAAAGATTTTTCTTTTTAAGACCTCTTTAGAGCATCTTAACCTCAAATATGAAATTTTTGACTATCTAAGAGCATTTCCAACCCCACTCCATAATTTTATTACAAAATGAAGTGGAAAATGGAGTAGTGAACAAACAAAAAATTAAAGATTTGTTCGTTGGATAAAATCAAACTATCAGCCACCATATTATTACCTTTACTAGTTTTATTTTTGAGTTTTGTTTTCTTCGATTCAATAGGACGTGAACTTGATTCGACATCATCACTACTTAAAATTATTGAAAATTATTGAAAATGAAAGCATTCTCGGAGATTATAATGCCGGAGAGCCGAAAGTATTGATCTCGGTGTTAAGATTGTGATGTTGGTGAGCCGAAAGATATATGGTATTTTGCTTGTAGTTTAATATTTAATTATGTATTTCTATTTCCAGTTTTATATTTTAATGTAAACTTTTTATTAATTAATATTGTTGTAATATTTTTATATATGTGTTAGTTATTTATAAAAGTTATATGAATTTTCGTTAATTGTGACAAATATAAGGACCATAATGTAAATTGCAAATAATTTTGAAGTTAGTTTTTGTTGGGGGCAAAATCGGTTATGACGGAATCAACGACCAAAACTCTCTGCAAAGTTCAAAATAGGTTTATAAAGATACGAGAAAGTGTCGAACAGAGTTCTAAAGATTCTTCGAGCAAAGGAGCTCCGTAAACTTAACAATCGCCATCATGAATATCACGGGCAAATCAAATAAACAACACCACGGTTGTCCGACTAGCAAACTTAGCAAGATCTGCCGCAACGTCGAACTCGCCGAAGCGGTGAGACTGGCCGAGCCCAACCAGCTCGCCAAGCCAGCAAGCTGGCCGAGCCAAACCATCTTGCCGTCTTGGCGAGCTGGACCGTACCATCCAGCTCGCCAAGCCGGCGAGCTGGACCGTGTCATCCAGCTCGCCAAACCAGCTCGCCATCTTGGCGTTCTGGACTGTGCCATCCACCTTGCCAAGCCGGCCAGCTGGCCGAGCCCAACCAGCTCGCCGTCTTGGTGAGCTGACCGTACCTTCCAGCTCGCCAAACCGGCGAGCTGACCAAGTCATTCGGCCCGGCACCGGCCAAGCCAAACCTCACCATCCGCACTACCCGGACACAAGGCATATACCCCTCGAATCGATCATACTATGAACCGTGATCGGAACATCGCTCGTTTCGTCTTGATCCGTATTATCGTTGGAAGTTTACGATAAAAACCGCTAACGACTTGTTTTCTCATAAAGACTCGACTAAATCGTATAAAATGGCAATGGTTAAACGAAACATCGAAGATTACCAAACTATACGATTGAGTGGAGATGTTTTATAAAAACGGCATCGTATCATGGAACGATCCCGTCTGAAATCGTAAGACGGCTAAAGTGCAAAACGGCCCAAAAGGTCATAAAACACGATAAAGGCCCACTTACGACTTTAGACGAAATATAGCCCAAATATGTGATGACGGTTTATCCATGCTTTGTAGGAAGAAGATAAATATCAAGTTTGAAGATAAATATAAGTTTTCCAAGGATAAATATGGAGATGGATATAAAGGGAAGATTTTTGATAGACACGAATCAATGAGGAAAAGGAAAGACTTAACCGCCCAGATGAGGAGTCTATAAGCACAAAGTCAAAGCCAAGAACGGAGGACGAACTCAGAGCTTTCATCACATAGAAAAACTTAGCACTTACGGAAAATAAGCAACTTTCTGTTGTTGTTATGAGCTGCGTCTCAACTAGGGTTAAGTCTTAGGTTGCTAGAACTAGAGAAAATTGCCGTCATCTCTTGTGGCCAAGGCTTATTCTCGTTGTACCACTCTTACGAAAATTCGGAATAAGAAATCTCTTTGCTCCTCTTTCCAATTTATATATTCTTTACCTGTTATTTTGTATCTTTGATTGCTTGGTGTGTGGTTAGCAGATATCTGGCACCTCTGAGAAAGTTAGGTTAACTTGACGTTCCTAAATTTACGGAAATTGACAGTGCGAATTTCGGTTCCCACAGTTTGGCGCTAGAAGGAGGGGGGGGGGTTACAGATCTATCTAACTCTCAAACCGCATTACGCTCGATCATATACAATGGCAGAAGAACAACGTGTTGGGAAAAATATCCAGGCACCAGATTCCTCCAGCCTCTGGGCTGGGCACCGGCCTCTAGACCCCGGCTCCAAAGGAAACTCTCCCATATTCGCCAATTCGCCAATATGGAAACTCTCCCATATTCGCCAATATGGAAGAGTTTAACCTAATGCAAGCCGACATCTACATCTATATAAGGGGAACCCAAACCCTAGAATAAGGGATCGACACTTAGAGATTGAGGGATTAGATCTAGACGGCTAGGGTTCTTACATCAATATTGTAGCCTCCATTGAATAATCAATAAGATCTCTAGTCTTTCTCTACTTGCTTCTTGTTTATCTCATACGAGTTCCTCCTAATTTCTCCTTATCTCTTACGCACACCTTTGCTTCTCTCTATCTTAAATTGAACCTTCTTGTGTTCCGTAGTACTAAAGCGACCCTACACAAAAATACCATAACAGCTTGGCGCTAGAAGGAGGGGAGTAATTCAACTACGTGACGATGACACCAGAAGACTCAGCCGAACCCATCGGAGCTACCCCAAGAGAAGCCGAGCTCATCGATCAGCTCAATGCCCTTCGAGGAGAAATCACCGAGCTTCGCGAGGCTCGAGGAACAGCCGGGGATAGCTCAGAGCTTCTCCAAGAAGTTCAAATCCTAAAAACTAAACTCGACGAGCATACTCAACAACTGCAACGAAGCGCGGAGAAATTTTCTCTTGAAATCTAATTTCTTTTCATGTGGATTATTGTTCTTGTTTTAATTGGACATCGTCATACTTTGAGATGTACCATATTCAAGATATAGAATACAGTACATAATGCATTCATCCACAAGGATATAAGTGAATTTGCATATATCAAACCATTTACATAAAGTACGGTTATGCCTTTCAGCTACACCATTGTGCCATGGAGAAGCAGGCTGTGTACTAATATAATTCTTAATTTCTGGAGAAATTTGGCAAAATATAGACATTGTGTCTTTTCATCATATTTTCCATAAATTCATTATCTTTATATACCTTTATGATTTTCACTTTTATATCTTACTACATCTCTACTTAATTATGAATACTTGTAATGTATTTAAAATTGAGACTTTTATATAATGGATATTACATAAATGTGAATAATCACTAATAAAGGTATTGAATACTTTTCATCTCCAAAAGATAAAACGTTAAAGGGTATACAAATATTTGTATGTATAATTTCAAGAAGCTTTATATTTCTTGTGGCTCGTTTCTTAATGTGTTTACTTTGTCATCCCTAATGCAATTTAAATACATTTCATTGTTGGCAAAATCAAGATTCACAATAATTCTATCTTTTACCAACCTTTAATTTTTTTTTAATAGAAATATATTCACCTCTTTTATGCCACAAGAGATACCTAACATTAGTACATGTTTTATGCTTTAATTTTTCTTCAATGTGCAGAACTAGATGTGCTTTCAAATGTTGATCAGCCAATGTTACCTAATATTGGCCATCAACTAATATTCTTGAACCGATTCAATTAGAGTTCAAGAATAAATTTAAAACCACCATCTCTTTAAGTCGATTTTAAAACCCAATCATCAAATTTTCTTAATAAAGCTAAAACTTATGGAAAATAGATGGAACATAAAATATTTAGAATGAATCTAAACAAATTCCATTATTCATAATGAGGAGTGCCTATCGGTTCAACTATCACGTCGCTCTAATTCCATAAGTAGTTAGCTTACACTTGAAAATACGGTTATGATCATAAATAAATCGTGCACATAATTAATTACATGTACATTAACACCATTATCCATCTACCAATTTTTAGAAGAAACATTATGAGAATAGATTCGACAATCCTTAAGGAACTTAAAAGGTTACCTTTATTTTTTTCGAATTATTGTCCTCCTTTATAGCAATCTTTAAGAAAGTGTCAAACATTTTTATCTGTCCTCTTTCTTTGCCTTTTCCTTCTCCTTTGATATTCGTTATGGGTGGTGATTTTTTATGACTTACTTAAGTCTAGCTCCTTGAACATAATAGACAACTTAATACCTTTACGGCCAAGCCTATCCTCTTACTAAACCATTTTATTTGCCAATTCATTCAACATCCATCTTACATACTTGGTGTTATAATTAATTTGGAATGGTTCATAATAAGAAAATGTAAATTTAGGATAAACTGGACAATAAATTAATATTCCACATTCATTCCTAAATTATTTAATTCAACCGGATGATAGGTCATTTCAAATGCAAAATTCATGCATAGACCTTATGTCATTATTCTTTTATGGTTGTAAGATTTTCCTATAAGTTTCCCAACTAGAGATTTTTTTTTTGCAATCTTAAACCGTTCTTCTATATGTCTATAGCTTTTCCAGCCGTTATATGAAAATATTTTAATATTCATAATTATTGTGATCTTAGGATCGTAATTCTCAGTCTATTCAATTTCATCCGAACTTTATGGAACTTCTTTTCGTCCTAAGTACTATCTACTATTAGTGAACTTGACTCATTATTGCGGAGTGTCAAATTCAAGTATAGTACTCTTAATATGAACTCAACTTTCTTTTTTTCATTCGGAGAAGTTGGTTCGGTAAGGACTAGAATAGACGAGACTTTATATGACAAAATTTTATAACATTTATAATTTTGAGATACACAAGTTTAAATTAGGCTTTTAAACAAAATTAGCACATATATTTATTTATTGAATACTTATGCCAAGAATATATGGTGCTCCTGTGGGTAGTAACCATAACTCCATCAATAATCATAGTATTCGAAAACTTTTATGAGTAGCGTATTGAATTACTCAGACTAAGTTATCTGTGGATATACTTAGTCTACATAATACATATAATCTATAAGTTATTTGACCTTATTTTGTGTACATAGTGTACCTGTGGGTAACTAATTACTCCCTCCGTTTCATATTAATTGTCGTTGTAGAGAATTTTTTGCGTTACAAAATAAGTGTTGTTTTCAGTTTTCAATGCAAAATTTATTAATTTTATTATGTATTTAGTTTTTATATTGGTTAAAATATGGTTAGGTGTATAGGTAATTGTGTTTTTATATAGAAAATATGTAAAATTAATTATTTCCTTAATTCGTGTGCACAGCTGTAGAGTGACACTTATAATGAAACAGAGGGAGTATTACACAAAATATCAAACACTTATTTAAATTCATTTCGCAAATCATTTTCGAGTAAAGTCACTGTGGTGATATCTTTAACCCTAATTTTACTCTTTATATGAAAATATTGTTTTGTATAAATCATGCATAAATTTGTTAATTTAATTCTATACGATTTATGTATAAAAAATTATGCATTCATTATTTCTCATTTCAGAGATTGAAATAGAATACACACATATAATATATGATTCAAGATTTCCGAAAACTCTCATCGATTTTCAAACCGAAAATTAAACATTATTTTAGATCAAAATTTTCATTTCTTAAGAAGTGGTCTAATTTCATAAACATAAATCTATTATACTTTCTGGATTAGCTAGATGTTTATAACCATTAGCTCTGATACCACATATAAAACATGATTTTACATGAACCCTAAGATCTTTAACATCTAGACTAATCACATAATAGAACTATAAGGATGATTTTTGGAATACCTCGATTCATGATTGCGGAAATCTTCTTGAATGATTATGATCATGGAAGATCATTTCATGAACTTTAAGTTGGAGTTAACCCTTCTCTCCTCAAGATGATCTCTTGATCTTTTAGTTGGAGTTAGATCTTCTCTCCCCTTGCCTACAATCTTTCTTTATGTGTTTCTCTTTAGATTTTCTTGATGTGTCTTTGTGATGGTCCAAAGGCTAATATTTATAGGTGGGGAGAGGGACCAATAACTTTCTCACCAAGTCTTGATGACTTTCTTGGCAAGTTTCTTCTTTAATCTCAATCATCCATCATGGTTGAGTAATGACAATTGTTTAGTGTTCTAGAATCATTCATTTATACAATGAACTTGTTCTCCTTTGATGCATTGAACTTAATTCATATGTTTTCCTACAATGACACATGTTTCATGAGTCTTCAAGTGAGAAACCTTATAGAATCAATTACTTGTCCATTAGGTAATCATCATCATTAGAAATTAAACTTTCTTTGTTACCATTTTATTGGTTACCAAATGTCATTAGGATTTAACAATCTTAATATAATTAAGTTTACCTAAAGACCACATAATGGTATAGAAACATTCTCTTCCTAATGAGAATATTTCTAACACCTCCATTTGCTTCAAGACATTCATTTGTTTCGATATCTGTTTCAGAAATGTAAGCAATATTTCTTGAGAATTCTATTGCTATAAGAAGGTCATGTTACTTGAGGAAATGGTTTAACCTCCACTTAGACAGATCCTGGGTTCCGTTCTCTCCTTGAAGCCTGAACATATAGCCTTTAATACCGCATTTCGCTTCGGGTTTACCTGAAAAATGAATCAGATTAGCAACTTAAGAATCATTAACATTCTAATAACATACTCAAAACAAAAATGTTACAATGAGAAGGAATGAAACAAACCCCGGTATTGAGCATTGTTGATGATCAATGTTGGCAAGATTGTGACAACCCCACGGTCTCCTTGTCCTACCTGACGTGCTTGCTCAGCTTTCAAAACCTCATTCTACACATCAGCTCCAGGATCACCCATCCATTTCTTGATCTTCTCAAGTGGCAAACCTGAGAATAAGAATTTTTTTTTAAGGCTCCCAGAATGTGAAGAAAAGGATATGAAAACGAGTGTGATGTCTCTTACCGAGAGATTCCACAACACTCTCTGCACATTCTTTGCTATACTTCTTCTCCTTCATTGAACACCTGATGTGAAAATCAGTCACATAGTCCCACCAAACCCAAGACCTGTTAATCTCTTTCCCCACTCTATGAACACATAACTGTCTCAAGTTCTCGAAGACAATGTCCTTCCCATCGTACCCATCTCCAAAGTCTTTTTCAGGGTCAGGAGCACAATACCTCCCTTGGTTTATACACTGAGACTTACATTGATTGCTTGAAACATACTCTTTGACAAAACGATGTAATGTAATGTGGTGTGAACAAAGAGTATCCTCCTTTCTCGAGAATCTGCGCATGCCCTTTAAAGTTCTTGACGAAATTCATCTGCTCATCACACCTTGCACCACACTCGTCATTCGTGTTAGTCCACAGCTCATACTCGACTCTCTCGTCCGGATGAGGCAACGACTTGCTCCAGTCTATCTTCAGGACTACTTCCTCTCCTTTTTTAAGAGCTTGCTTGAGGGTATTGGCGAAAGAAAGGTTGATCAAAGCAGATGGAATGCTGAGTTTCTCTATGAAGTCATCAGCTTCTTTGGATTCTTCAGGTGAATCCATTGTTATTAATGGCTCGTCCAAGATATCTGCTATTAGAACTGCTGCTGCACCGGATTTTTGACCGTTCCATACCTTTAATGCAAAGTAGCACTCTATTGCACAACAAAGCACAGACTTTAGAGTACTACACAAGTAAAACTGCTATCAAGAGACTATAACAAAACTACGCACAATATCCTAAAAAAACAAACAACCAGACTGTAACTCTAAAAATACATGTTTTAGAAAAAGTATTTGTTTCAAAGAGTTATATATTTTTTTGAATGAACTTTTTTATGAAGTAATAATGGCTAATTGTAATCTTCAAGAAAACTAATTGTATTTTCTGAATCCTTTTTTGGTCTAAAATTATGGAAAATAGATGACCACAAAAGAAATTATGCATTTAATACTAAGATTTAATATATTTTCATAGATGAAGTATTATATTTATATATTTCAGTATTGCAGCAACCAAAAACCAAATAGGTACTCGAATAAATAAATATGATTTTTACTCGAATAAATAAAATATGATTTATAGAAAAAATATTAATCATATATAAACATAATATAACCAAATATTGATAAACACAATCTATAGCCAATGCCAGCTAAAAACAAAACTTTCTATTTCTAAACATTAACTTGAAAGTTGGTCTGTTCTCTAACTTACGTAGCCGTTTGAATCAAGAACAAGACAAAAAAGTGTATGCAAACGGAACAGTTACCTCCACGATCGATGATTAAGATGGTAGGACGAGGGAACTTGGGTTTGAAAGTTGTGCCAAAAGAGTCGCATCCAAAAGCTCCTTGACCGGCGTAGACGACAGAGCCGATCATGTAACCACCGTAGTTAGGAACACCAAAGTTAGCGATGGCTGCGTTGTATTTCGACCGCATTGCCACTGGTCTTAAGATCTTGATGCTGCTCTTCTCAACGATGAATCTCCCGAAAACTACATTGATCATCGTGGTCAACGCTATAAACAGAGCTAAAGTGGCTACTTTATTGACCAAAGACATTGGTTCTGATTTATACTAAAAAAAAAGAGTTTGAAAACTGAAAGACTTTTGTTTCCTGAGAAAGTGGAGGGAGTGATGATTTTTCGGAAATGGGTGTCTCTGTTGTTCTTTTAAAAAAAAAAAAAAGAATTCTGTAGATTTTGCCGAGAAAATAAGAGGTTAAATAGTTAGGTGATTCGAACTGTATTCATCTTCTATTGGATTTCATGGGAAATGAGAGAAAAAATAAGCTTTGATGGGAGCAAAAAAAAACTCCAGACGGAAAGAAATGAGTTTAGGGGAAAGTGGGTGTCGATTTATTCTCGAGAAAGAAAGAGATGTTAACGTAAAGTAAACGGGAGAGAAGATGACTTGACAGAGTCAGCAGGACTAACCATGTCTCTGAAACTACTGATTCAACCAACTTCTCTCTCAATCCATTCTTTCTTCTCTTTTCTTATTTTCTAAATAATTGATCAGGAAAAAAAATAATGTTTACTTAGAATGCAAGGCAATCATTGATTTCAAATCTCTTAATCTTACAATCAAGTATAACACTTTACAAAGCCTAAGTCCGCAAGTTTCAAGCCTTATGAAATCAATCATATATCAACCACAATAACTATTTAAATTAAGAATGGTTACAAAAATCAAGACCATTGCTTACTTCATTGACTTTTGAGAAATGAAAAGTTTAGTGAAGTACCATATGGGTCAAGTAACTTAAGTTAGAGAATCATACAATCACTGTTGTGACAATTTAATAGGAGACATGAATGAATAATCAACACATCTTATTAAATGATATATCCAACCTAATTGTTTTCTTTACCATTATTCCCAAATTATTTAAGGCTGACCATGAATATGATGTGTTTTTATAGGTCATGCTGTGTTTATTTTAATAAGTTAGTGGTTACAAGCATGTATTTTTATTTAGCAGTGATTAATTCTCTGATATAAAAATGATTGGATACAAGAACTAGTTGATATAATATTTCATATATTCTACTTGTGGGATGAGAAAATGGTTATATTCACTCAACACGATGTTTATTGTTGAATATCTATATGTACATGATTAAACTACCAACCATGTCTTCTCATTTGCTTGAATCTCATGCCTTTTTTCATTATTATTAGTAGTTCCTACAATCACATACAAACAATGGAGATAATAAAGATAATTAATAAACAGAAATAAAAAGATAGTTAAATGTGTACACCAGAATTTTTGGAACTTACGTCCAAAAATGTGATCGATTTATGGAAAAAAGTTGCATGAATATTAACCATTGCATGGTATGTGTAAGGTCAGTGTCTGAGCGACAGTGTCTGAGCATGTTGGCTGGCGTGTTACGCATACAGAAAATCGTGTCACACACATGATGAAAATCGTGTCACACACATGATGAGTTCAAGGTTTGAGCGCGAAGTAGATGTGTTACACATGTCAGCAAGTGTGTAACACATGGTGCTAAAGATAAAGAAGCCATGTTTGAAGATAATGATCCAAGATTTTAGGAGGTTTGTTGGTTAACAAACAAGGAGATAATTTGGAGGATTTTGACTTATCACAATAAGATACGATGGAGTATATATTGGTGATATAGTTCATTAGTTTGGTTACGGCTTAGAGATCAATTGTTGTCGAGCTAAGAGTGTGTTCTTCGCCACGATACTGGTTTTAGCAATTGGTGAGATTATCTCGACCTTTGTGCTTTATGTAGATTAAGAATTGGTCCGTCTTTAGTCAAGTTGTGACGTTGAGTAAATCGGATTAAACAGATCTAGAGTGATTGTTTAAGTGATTCTTAATAAAAGCAAGTTAGTTTTCTTGGAATTCCTCGACATTGTTCTATCACGGTATCCATACGAAATTTCATTTGGTATCAGAGCAAGTCACCTTTGTAGACGTGTCAGTCTACTTATAGGCTGAGAGCCTGTGGCAATCAGGGAGACCATAAAAGAACTTGTGGCGTTGCAAAAGCCAATCATGCTCGATAAGGAAATTTTGGACACTGGAAGACGAGGATGCGTCATATCATACGAGCTATTGATGAGGATGCTTGGACTTCTGTTGAAAAAGGATGGACTGCACCAACCATGGTGATGGAAAACAAGCCCATAGCACCTATGCCGAAGGAGAGATGTGACTCTGATAAAGCCGCTTCAAAGTTTAACTCAAAGGCGCTCACTACCATCTTTTTTGTTGTTGATCGCGATCAGTTTAAAATCATACAAGGGTGTGAATCTGCAAAGCATGCTTGGGACATTCTTATTAATCACTTCAAAGGAAACACGAGTGTGAGAAGAACTAGAATCGATCATCTCGCTTCAAGATTTGAAAACCTGCGTATGGAGGATGATGAGTCAATTAAAGTTTCATCTCCAAGATCAGCTCAATCTCTAATGAAGCCTCAGTTCTCGGAAAGAAGTACAATGAGAAGAAACTTGTAAAGAAACTCTTGTGCTGTCTCCCTTCGAGATTCGAGACATATAAGGCAGTGCTTATGATTGCTGTGAATACCGATGAGATGAAGTTTGATCAGTTGGCTGAGATTCTGAAGGTACATGACCTTGAACGATTTGAATAGACCACTAAGGGACAGAAAGGAATAGCATTTTCCGCAGAAACCAAAGAACATGATAGGGTGAAACGCATAGAAGATAACATGAGTCTCATGGCTAAGAACTTCAACAAGATGATCAAGAGAGTGGAAAAGGGGAACTACCGCAGCAACAACATATTTCAAAGCAGGGAAGGTGATCGTTCATCTGGACAACAAAACAAAAATGACTCTGGAAGAGGTAATCGCAAGAGAGAACTACAATGCCATGAATGCGATGGTTTTGGTCACTTTCGAAATGAGTGTCCTCTAACCAAGAGAAAGGAACTTAAGTGCATTGAATGTAAAGGATATGGGCATACCAGAAGTGAGTGTCCTAACAACTTAAAGAAAGATAAGGCACTGCTATCTTTCAGTGACATAAAATCAGATAGTGACAGTGACAATGAAGAACTCATGCTGAAATTTGTGGCTCTCATGGGACAAGATGACACTCAAGACATCTCTGCGAGAACCGCACAACAAAGATTAAGATGACTAAAATACTTAGAATAAAAACGAAAATAAGAGAGGTTTGAAAGCAAGAAGGTTCTTATTCCGAATCTGCGTTGAACTGGTTACAAGAAGAGTAGCCGTAAACGTAAAGAACTTAGAAAACCCTAATTGAGACGCAGCTCGCTAATAGAAAAACGGAAAGATTCCTAAATGCTAACTTTGGTGGTGAGAGCTCTGAATTTCGTCTGTCTTGCCTCTGCCCTAGACCTCCTCTTTATATACTCCTCATCTTGGCTATCCGATCTTTCCATTTCACCCAGATTTGACTTAAATCGGGAACTTTCCATTCTTCTCGATCCTTCCTTTTCTTCTGCGGAAATCTTCTATTTCTCTTCAAACCTTCCTTTTATGTTTAAACTTGACTTTTATTTTCTTTCTGCGAGTAAACCGTCAAAACGTTATCAAATCCGCGGGTTTGATTCCGTTGAAATCGCGAGATGGGTTTTATCGCGTT